TGTTGAGTGAGTGTTTCATCCTGCCTCTTGTGAGAGCATCATGCAGCAGAGGATTTAAAGCTGGGGAAGAAAAAGGCATCTGAGGGTTTTTGAGCAACATTTTTCTGGCCATTACTACACTGTGATTGTAACACGTTGAGTGCAGTCCATTTTCATTCCATATTGGGTAATGTCTCCCGTCCACTATGTCCTTTTCTATTAACATGTATCTGACTTTCGAAGTCCAGTGTTACAGCAAAAACTTTTCAGTATTGCAACCAAACACTGAATTGGACAAAGTATAAGCTTAAAAAAAAAAGCCAAAAAAGGAAGGTTTCCATTAAGCTCGTTAATAAAAGTCATCTTAGCAATAAGAATTTATTTAGACTACAAGTTTGTGCTTCCAAATAAATACACAGCTGTGATGTTATTCTGCGTAGAGTTTAAAGCATTGTTTTTCTAGAGGCACTAGCCGAGGCGTGGAAGGGCTTCAGGGCCAGGAGGAGCTGCAGGAGCCCCGCTGGGACTAACGCACGGCACAGCCGAGGTCGGCGCGAGCGGGAGACGCTGCGGGCGCAGAGACAAACCTCCCCTTTCCCTCCAACAGAAGAGCATCCGCAGTGATGCGATCCGTTGTGCAGAAGCTGGTGCTGTCGAAGTGAGAGGAGAGGGTTGTGGCCCAGGAGGTGAAACATGCTAAGCTTGCAGAGGGCCTTCTGGTGTTCATACAACTATCCTGGAAGAAAAAGGCTGTCATGGGAAGATGACAGCAAAGCTGCCTCTTTCCGTAGTTGCTATGCCTGGTGCTGGGTATCGCTGAGGGAAGCCGTAGCAAGGGGCCTCCCTGCAGAGTGAGGGAGCCCTGCCAGGCTCCAGGCTGGCCTGGCCATGTGGCTGTTCCCATCTGGAGTGTCCCTAGCCTTGTTTCCAGGAGGATGCTGCTCGGCAGGGAGGTTCTGCACCATGCATGCAGCAGGCTGCTTCCTGGCTGGGCAGTGCTGCAAGCCTTGGAGCCCTGCTGTCCTTGCTGAAACATCCTAAGTTCCCTTTCTTCCCCGTTACCGTATTCATGAGTGTTTTACTCATTCAATACTTGATATTTTGTATTCCTGATGTTTTTCTAAAACGTATATTTGATTTCATGGGAAGGCATCAGAGCTCAACCAACCTTAGGAAGCTTCCTCTGCTGCAGGAAGAGGCCCCATAGCTGTAGCAGGTCTGACCTTCTGTTAGCTGCCTGGTTTCCATCGAGCAGAAAACAGCTTTTAACCCTGCCAGAGCTGTAAGGTCTGGGGGAGTTACAAGCTTGGGTGTTGGGATCAGGTCAAATGGTAAAGCAGTTGATCGCAATGAGCTGTTGTCCCCAAAGGATCGAGGCCAGAGATCTAGTAAGTGCCGAGTGGCGGCCAGGCTGGGTCCCAGGAGCTGCTTCTGGGGAAGCTGAGGCTGTAGGAGAGCAGCAAGGGCGAGAGGAGCCTGGAGGTGGCTGGGCTGGGGACGGGGAGGGATCCGTCCTGGCAGAGTTGCTGGTAGCAGTGCTATAAAGTCCTACTCATCTCCCTGAACAAGGCAGTAACATGAGCAGTCTTAAATTTGAGGACCTGCTTTTTATTTTTTGTGGTAAATGGTAGGGGAATGGAAATTATAGCATGCTTTTGATGCTCAGTGAAAGTCCTGTGAATAACTGCCATAAAGAGAAAGAGGAATAAGTTGTTTTTTAGCTGTTCTTGTTGGCAGGAAATTTGAGTGGGGACTTGGAAAGCTGCGAGTGTTTGTCCTGACTTAGATCTTGGGAGATAAGTAGCAGTGGGATGGATGCGTCTTGGAGGTTTCTCTGAGGCTGGAAGTGCCAGGTTAGTGTACGAGAGCCCGGGTAGGATTCTCCACAGTGGGCTGAGCTGCTTCCTCAAACTGGTCCAAATGAGCCCTCGGTTCCATACGGCGAGTGTAAGGCTCCCGGCTGCAGGTCTGCCAGCGCAGGAAGCGAGGTGGGTGTAAAAGGGCTAATGCTCTGCCAGCAGTCCAGGCCGAGCCCTGGAACTGCACGTTTTTGTTTTCTTTTTGTGAAGAACAGAAGTTTCTTAGTTCATGTGTGTAGTTCTCAGGTGTATCTTACGAGTGCTTTGAAACCCTTTGGAATGGAAGGAGCAGTGTGAGCAGACACAGCCCCTTCCATGCTCATGTGAAACACTAAGCGAGGAGTCACTGTGTCCTCTGGGGTCCGTGGGGAGGTCCTGTCCCCGTCTCAGCAGAAGCTCCAAGGGCAGAGCGGGGCAGCTGGTCTGCCTCGACACCTCCATCCCTGGGATCTTCTGCTGCTCACAAGCTGTTATTTGCATCGTCTGGTAAACTTATTGTTGTATCGCTTCCCTATCTGCCTGCTAGAAACTTGTCAGCTCACATACAAATAGTTTAGAAGTGGAATCACTGAGTGGGAGGTGGTAAATTCCCAGCTTGGGATCATGCAGAGCACTCTCTGCACTGGCCAGGTTGGCAGGGAAAGGTGTAGTTGGGCAGAGTGACGTAGACGGTAACACGTATGACACACGAGTTGCTTCCATGCCACATCTTGCTTTTATGAAATCTTTAGCCAGGTTGCTTCAGGGGTTGCTAGCAGACATGTAGCCTTGCAGCCCAGGGCTTTGCTGGAGGGGACTGCTGAAGTCTGCAGAGTGACATCTGTCCTGTATTTAAAAGTATGTACAAGGAAAAGGCCAAGTTCCTAATCTCTACGCAAAATATCTGCCTTCGATGTGCTGTGTTTTTCTGCACTCGGATGCAGGCATCTCCTCCTTTCTTAACAACTTAGATGTATTTACCAGTGACTTTTAAATGCCCCCCCGCCATATGCGGCCCTGCTGCAGGTGTTGGCTGGAGGCAGCGCCCGTGAGCGCGGCGACGCTCCGGCGCGTCCCGAGCCCGGCTGTGCCGGCAGCTGCTTCCCAGCCCTTTCCCTGAGCTGCCGCGGTGCCCTTGCAGGCGGGCAGAGCTGCAGCACTTGTGTCTTGCTGTCTCCAGCTGATCTCCCCCGAAGGAGCGCAGTGCAAACAGCCGAGCTGCAGGCTGTGGCAGCGCTGCCTGGAATCGCTCCGTGTCCTCTGCCCTCCTCGGTGCTGTGTGCAGGAGCACAGTAGGAGCCTACAGACTATTTAGCGAGGTTGCCTACGCTGCTCGGTGCCTTTGCTCACTGCCACGCAGTTGGAGTGCTGCGTTGCAAAGATGCCCTGGTTGGGATGCCCAGAAAGTAGAAATCCAGCGCACACCTGGAGTGTCAGGGCTTTGGGGTGCACGTCGGGCACCGCAAGAC